CGAGCTACATTAGAGGAAGCCACCCCAACAGAGGGTGTCTGTCTTCTACTAACCTGCAATGTAGCCCCTTGTCTCGAAAGTGCTGAGCTGCTTGACAAGATTAGACTGGGCCCAAAGGCACAATGGGGAGCCATGTGAGGAAAATTCTGCCTGCAGTTTTTTTTTTCCTCAGTAACGTTTTGCTCCATAGGGTCAATGTGTCAGGAGTTGTGGGCCAGGGAGGCAGGAAATGTGACTATGTGGAGAGCTGAGGACACTGCAGACTCTCCCATCCATCCACAGTCTGCCACTGCTACCGTCTCCGCCAGCATCCCCCCCCCCAACACTGGAGGAGGAGGTAGGCTGTGTACATGGCCCTCCAAGACGCACAGAAAGAAATAATTGTGGAAGACAAGGAGGAGCTGCCCAACGTCAACAGGACTGGACTCGAGGCCGGCGCCCTCAGGCTCCTAGCGCTGTGCCGTCTGCCACGCTGGTCAGAGCCAAGGTCTCTCTAGAAGGATGGTGTGGAGCTGTGTCCATGGATAAGCCAAAGCCCAGAACTGATTCTCCGGGTCCCTGCCAGTGGGTCCCCAGTCAAACCACTGTGCTATCTGTGCTCAAGTGGGTGCCTGCTTCGATTTAGAATATTAGCAGGTACCGTCAGTAATAAGAAGTGCAGACGCTGACTCATCGTTTATGCAGTTCTGCGTCATACCTCTGTCAGACTTGAGGTGAGGTGGAAGTAGTTAGTGTAAGAGGGAGGGCAGAATGTTCGAGAGAATGGCCCAGCCCAGCCATTGTGCTGCCCAGGGCACGGGGGGCTGGAGGGCATCAGTGAGCAGAAGACAGAGTGACAAGATAGGGTGAGGAGAGGAGAGCAGGGGGCCTTACAGTCATGGGGCAGGGGTGGATCCTTCCCCCAGAGATACTGGGAGAGTCTGCTGGCTGCTCTTACCCTGCACTACCTAGATGTGTTGGGACTCAATCATTTGGGTTTCCCCCTAAGGGGTAGCTGAAGAGCTCTTGCCGCTCTTCCAGAAGAGTTCAATTCCCAAGACCCCGATCAAGTGCATTTATACACACACACACACACATACACACACATGCGTACACACACACATTATTTTTTTTAAGATTTATTAGTTCACATATTTTATGTACATGAGTGCTCTTTCTTCACACACACCAGAAGAGGGCGCCAGATCTCATTTACAGGTGGTTTTAAGACACCATGTGGTTGCTGGGAACTGAACCCAGGAACTTTGGAAGAGCAGCCAGTGCTCTTAAACACTGAGCCATCTCCTCGCCTATAAATTATTTCTTAAAGAGTTAAAAAAAAAGAGGGGGGATAGGAACTAGGTTTTATCCATGTCTGTCTGGTGCTGAACATAGAATCAGGCACATACAGGAATCAAAAATATTTACTGGCCAAATAAAACAGTCAGCCCTTAACATCCCATGTTCAATATTTAATAGCACCATGACCTGCACACTTAGGTCATATGTGGACAGTAGTGGCTACAGTAACTTCCACAATGCAGGCAATTCTATATATTAATAAAATAATGTGGCCATTAGTAGACAATCTGCATTCTTAGAAACTAGAAACTTGGAGCTTTGGGAGACTCCTCATAGAACATGCCAGCCTGCAACAAATCATAGTTCAGGCAAGAATAACATAGTTGCATTAAGAATGGCAGCAGTTAGTGTGGCGTGATACATTTTAAAATTAAAAACAGAGAAGAAATAGCAACAGTAACCTCAGGACCTGAGCCATCATGAGACAATGCTTTAAAACAAAAGGGTGGTTGGTGTGTGGAATGAACCCATCGTCTGATTTTGTGTATTTTGGTTTTTTGATACTGGGTCTAATCCTGTAGCTCAGGCTGGCTTTGAACTCACTATGTAGCCAGTGAGTTCATAGTGAGTGAGGTCATAGCCAGTGAGTTGGCTGGGCTCCAACTCACAGTGGTCGTGCCAGCTCACCCTTCCAGGTGTGGGGATGACAAGCATGAGCCGCTACACTCCACTCTGAGTGGGGGGCACCCATGTCACCCTCCCCTCAAAGCTCAGGGCTCATCTCACAAAGGGGGGCAGAAGGGAGTGGAAGGCTGCAGCGGAACAGCATTTGCCAGACCTGACACCACAGTTGCACACGCGGACGCCCAGTGGCCAGGACCGCACGCACAAGACCAGCATAAGATCAAGCCAGCTGGGGCCTTAGCGTGGGTGGGGGAGGAGCTCATGAAGTCCCACCCGTGTCTGTGTAATTGCTGGTGTCTGATAGCGGCTGGGAGGAAAGTCAGTGTTCTTCAGGGATGCAGGACCTGAGAAGTGACCTGTGCTCCATAGACGGCTCTGCCAGTGCTCATACAGGAAGTACTAAGTATACTCGGAGACTTAAAAAAAAAAAGCACATGAAATTGGGAGAAGAAGTCATAGTAAAGAAAGGGGGGTATTGGAGGAAAATAAATGAGGGGTGGATTTGATCAAAATATATGCATCTTCTATAAAAAGGTGAAGGTTGAGGCTGGAGTGGATTGGGGCTGGGGGAAGGGCTGAGGTTGGCAAGTTGAAGAAATATGGATGAGTCCCAGGAAGTTGGGTAACAGAGCAGCTGTGGCAGGCTTTGCAAGGGTGGGGCTGAGGTGGGCAGCTTCGTACAGCTTTTGCCTAGGGTTCGGGAAAACCTTCCGAAACTCCATGTGACCACCACTGAGTCAAGAGGGCACCGAGCTAGAGACTCGTGGGCACACAGCGTGGTGTACCAGGCACTTTGCAGCCTCCACTGGTGCTCGGCGGGGCAGAATGTTTGTATAAACCAAGGAAACATCTGTGTGGCTCTCTGCGTCCTCAGAGGAAGAAGTCTACCTAGGCAGCACGTTCAGAAGAACAAAGGATGTGGTCAGCTCTCCATAGCTCTAGGTCCTGTACCTGCAGGTTTGATGAGCCGCAGACCTGAAATACTGGTGGGGGAGGGGCAAGCGTCAGACCTGTGCCAAATACGTACAGGCCTTTTCTTGTCCTTACGTAATACATCACACCTGTATCCTGTCGCGCGGCGTAAATCATCTCGGAATGGTGGAAGGTATGCAGGAGGATTTGCAAAGATTAAATGTCAATGCTATGCCATTTTATGTGACTTGGGCATCAAAGGATTTTAACACCCAGACGAGGGTCGTGAAACCCACCCCTCACGGGTGATATGCCTAACTTTTAAAGCAAGGATGCCAGTTGGCTAGCTGAGGATGTATCAGTTACGAACCCTATGTGAGTTGTGAACTAGCTGAGGATGTATCAGTTACGAACCCTATGTGAGTTGTGAACTAGCTTTACCTTTACTCCTGAGTCCCATGAGAGCTCACCTTATAATGAGTGTTTGGAAGAAAACCATACGGACTAGGCTGTCACTAGTCAAGAGGGAAAAAAAACCCAATTATGTTGTTGACATCCCTTCTCCCATCATGGCTAGCTAGATGCCTCCGGTCATATATCTGGACTTGACATCAGAGACCAGCAGCCCTCACCTGCCTGAAATAGCACTTCCCAAGTGTCACTGCCGGAACCCTGAGGCTACCTGGTCTCCTTGGAGGAGGGGGGGGGCTCTTCGCAGGTGATTCTGCAGGCATTGGACATTGGGCAGAATTCCTTAGAATCAACAGACGCTGTGATTCAGTGGAGAAATGTGTGTTCCTCTGAAGGGAATAGTCCAAGGCCTGGGAGTTTTGCCAGCTCTTGACATAACTGATACCTGTCTCTGAATTCATGTCCCTCCCATTCTGCAATACCACTCCTGGCCTGAGATCACCACACACACACACACACACACACACACACACACACACACACACACACACGCACGCACGCACGCACGCACGCACGCACGCACGCACGCACACACACCTCAGCAGTCCGCTCTTCCCTAGGCCACACTTGGTAAGAGTGGTCTGCCCGCCCCTCCCCCCTTCATTTCACTTCTCCCACAAATCGAAACGGCTGGAAGGAATCTCCACCACTGTCCGACTCAATCGCCTTGGCAGCCAACTGTTGCTTCGTAAGGCCATTTCCTCACCTGGAGATCGGTCACAGACTCCTTCCCATGTGATGGAGACTATAATAACGCACGTTTTTACGGCCTGTGCCCAGGAGCTGTCTTGTTAAAATGACAGGCTCTGAAAATCCACAGCTCTAAGGCTGGCTTCCCAGCAAGTCTCCCACGGTGCGATTTCGTTTTGCTATTCGAAGAAACGCGTCCACGGCAGAGCAAGGTGTGTCAAGAGCAGGCGTAGAGACTGTGGTCAAGACTCAGTGAGCACTAGCTACAACCCCGCTGGTTCTCCTTCCCCAGTCAAACATGGTCCCTAAGAGAGCGGAGAGACTTCAGTTCACCTGCGAGTTCCCCAGGAAACAAGAGAGATCAAGTTGGCTTTCGAGGGTCCTAGACAGGGGGCTCAGGGAGTGAGAGTCCCACAACCATAGGCAGTCCCACGGGTGCTCATCCACCCCCCCCACTGGCTGCAGAGCCCAGGGGCCCAGGTCTCGACTCGCCATGTTGGGAACGCATCAGCCGAGCCGGGCACACACCCGGTTCTGCCAGCTCCGGCTCCCCAGAGGAATTTTCAAAGCACACAGGGTGTGTTTGGCAGGAATCTCTCAATGCGCTTAGGGGGCCTTTTTGCTTTGAGGTCTGCAGTATCTTCTCTGCTTCAGGCCTGAGCTTTGAGCTTCCCCCTTCGCTGGCCTGGAAAAGAGGCCCCGGATAGCCGGCTGCTGGTGACAGGCAGCCATGATTTGAGGAGACTCTAGGCGAGGTTAGAGAAGCCCCAAGCCCCCTTCCACAGCCCAGCGATCTGCCTTTGGTTTCACCCTCCTAAAAAAATTCTTCTTTGATGAACCCTTGGGTGCTTTTATACGGGTTCATTTTTACCATCCCACCTCTATCCCAATCCCCCTATGGCTCAGTCCCGCTGGGAAAGAGAGCTGTGCCCCCGCTTCTCACACCAAGTGTCTCTTCGCAGGTCTCCGCGTGCTGGCTGCAATCAGGCTGCAAGATTCCCAGGATGTAAGAGCCACACGGGGTAGACACTGGTAAGTGATACTGCGTTTGGCCGTGCTATGCCGGGAAGGAGTAGGAGCTGCTTGGGAAAGGCGGCCCTGCAAACGTGTTCCCATCCCTGGGCACCTGGACATAGCGCAGAGCCAAGCGTGTCCAGGTGCCGACCTCCCCAAATCTCTTGGCCTCCTGCCAGGGCCTCCCGAGAAGCCAGGAGCCTGCAGGTGGCTGGCTGTCCCCTCTCTCTCTGCACAGATGACAGCTACTCAGACTCCCAGGCCGGGGGCATATTTTTAGAGTTATGTTCAGACGGAAAAAAAAGTAGTCTCAGAACAGAGTCCCTACTGCCTGGCTCAGCCGGTAGGCAAAGCCACAGCTAAAGTGTTGGGCCTGGCAGGAAGGAGCAGGGAGGCTGGGGGATTGCTGCCGATGCCTCGGCCTGAGCAAAACTCCCCGACAGAAGAGGTTTGCACAAATGCAATGAGAAGCTTGGGTCAGGGCTGAGTTCCCTGTCAGTAGCAGAGTTCAGGGAGAAGCTGGACAAATGTCCACAGACACTATTGAAGCGAGAGGCTTGTGACAGAGCAGTGTCTGCACTCCCTTCTGTGAACCTTCTGGAACCTTTGAGGGGCAGGAGAAGGGCAACGCCATAGGCACAGCAGTATCTCTGCTTCAGGCGACCTTTGCGGAGTGAGACGACCTTGGGTCTTGCCTGCGCCCCAAAGTCACCAACTGATGCCGCCGCGCAGTCCTTATCCATGCCTGTAATCCTGAACACCTCGGGCACACGGTGGGCAGACAGTACACAGAGCATGATGGGAGGTTTCCTAGGGCGTATCTCAGCCATCCCCCCACCCCTCCTCCACCCTCCCGTAGCACTTCCAAAGAACTCCCTGCTCGTCACGCCATCAGAGGGTCTGGTCCAAGATGCTCACCGCACAGAGTGGAAGAAAAGGCCTAGGAAACTTGTAGAAAGGGACCACCCACCACCCAGAGCCCACGGGAGGCCTACGTGGAAAGGTGACAGTAGGCAGATGCCAGAGATACAAAGACAGCTTTTTCCAGAACCTTGGGTCCTTTGGCCGGGGCAAGAGCTATCCCACACACTCAAGTGACCAAACCTCTGCCTGCTGGACAGGAGAAAAATGGGGCTCTAGGCCCAAATGAGCACACTGGGCAGGAGAGAGGGTGTCCAAGATGCAGGACAGAGTACAAGCTGCTGTGCCCCCAGGGTAGTGGTGGGAAACATTCCCCAGGCCCTAGAGCAGAGGTTCGCAACCATCCTAATGCTGAACCCCTTTAATACAGTTCCTCACGTTGTGCTGACCCCCGGCCACACAATCATTTTTGTTGTTCTTTCATAACTGTAATGTTGCTACTGTTATGGCTTGGGATGTAAGTATCTGATATTCCTGATGATCTTAGGAAACCCCTGTGAAAGGTTCATTTGACCCCAGAACGGCGGGGCCCAGGGATGGCGGCTTTTCCTGCCTTAGAAGCTGTTGGCCTGGTTGAAGAGCACGCGTTTGACAGTGGCTGTGTGCAGAGTGTGTATTCAGCTGAGTCCCGCACTCTATTAGCAGAAAGCAGGGAGGAAGGGCAGGGATAGCGGAGGAAAGAGGCCGGACGGTGACTTCAAGTTATGTCCCATGACATCCCTAAGAGTCTTAAAGCAGAAGCCGGGCTGTGAGGCTGTGGGCACAAGCCCTGAAGCGTCGTAGGTCAAACAAAGCGATGAAGAGGGAATTCAAGGAGCAGGTATATGTATGTGCTGAAGGGAGGGGCCCCTAGTGTAGACCACCACCAGGTCCATACCCTGGCTCCCTAGCTTCCTGGCCTCTCTGTACTTCAGTCTCCTCATCTGATAAATGGGTACAGGGACAAACCTTACCATGTGATCGTGAGGGCTCAGCTGCTGTCTCTGTGCTGGGCAGGACATAGCAAGGAGCTCATCACTATTATGCTCGTCCAGGGTGTCAGGTGGGCCAGCAGCATGATGAGTCCAGGATGTGGTTACTGGCTCTGAGTTCTTCCCCCAAACACAGAGATGCTGAGTGGTGTGTATCTTTCCTGCTCTCTCCTTCCTTGGGTCCTTCCTGTTTCTGACCCTGCTCCAAAGTCTGCTGCCCGCTGCAGGCCCCTGGGGACATGCTGAGGCTCAATGTCCAACCCCCACATCCTCTTACCATCTAGGGGAGAGGAAGGGAATGGAAACCTTTTACTTTGCTTTCTCTTTTCCTGTATTTCCTCCTAATGAGCTATGGCAGGGGCCAGTCTGCAGTGTATCTCTGTGTGAGCTGACAATGTTGTGTGTTTTTATTTTTAAAAAATCACCGCAAAGCAAAAAAAAAGATTACTGTTGTATAGAAATTGTACGTTGGTACACTTTCAGTTGCTGTAACAGAAACTCTGAGTCTGGGTAATGCATAAAGAAAAGATGTTTATTTAGCTCACAGTTTTAGAGACTAAAAGTCCAAGATACGCGTCCTAACCCATTTGGCATCTTGGTGGGTGGCATCGCCATGGCTGGAGCATGCGCGGAAGAGGCAAATGGCAAGGCAGGAAGCCAGAGATGACAGAGTTGGGTTTGTTCTTATTATGTCACCTTACTCTAGAACTAATCGAGGCTCTGAGATAACTGCATTAATCTCTTCCAAGGGGGGCACTCCCGATGACCTCATGACCTTCCATTCGGCCATGCCTCTTAAAAAACCCCAGCCATCAGCATCACAACCCTGGAGGCCAACCTTCCAGCGCTTGATGGATTGGTGGCTGCCCTCACAATGGTGTTTGACCACCATCTGGCCCCTTCCTAGAAGAGCACCCTGACCTCAGGAAGAGTCTGAGAGAGCAGTGCTCAGGACCCCTGGGTTCTCTCAGCTACGAATGCACCTTGAGATTGCGCTTCAGTGGTGACTTCGATGGCCTTGGCAGCCAGAGCTGATGCTGTGGAGGGCCAGCCGTGGCAGAGAGGGTGGTTGGGCTTTGGAGGGCATTGTCTCGAATCTGTCACCGGTCCACAGACGTAAAGCCAGCACGACCGTGGTCCCCCGAGTATGTGGGAGCACAGGTTTGGGAGCGCGGGCCACTCTTCACAATGCACAGAGCTGAGATCTGACCCCAGCAGCCTAGTCCTGAGATTCTTTACCTCCCTGTCACCGTCATTAGCTCCCTGTGGGCAAAAGCAGTCCTGTCCCCCACCCCTGGTCTGCTTTCCTGGCTCTCTTCCGCCAACTTTCTGGCAGAGCTCCTTTCCCTTGTAAAAAGTGAATGACAAACAGAAGATCTGTCAGGAACAGCTCTGACCTAAACAGCTGGAATTTGTATCCTGGCATTCATTCATGTGTCCATCCATCTATCCACCCATCCGCCCATCCATCCATCCAACACGCACAACTCAGCCCCCAGGACCTCACGCGAGCCGACATCTTTGGCACTGACAGCTGCAAACTCCAAGTTCCTGGGTCCTCCAGTCATTGTCACCAGAAAGCTCGAAGGGACACTCACTGCATGGCGCAAAGCCCTTGATTAATATGCTGCAATTTGGGCAGCCCTAGGCTGTTCCAGCACCCCCGCCCAACCCTGTTACCATGGCAACATTATTTTAACAAACAGCTCTTTACTGTTTAATGAAAATTACACTCTGACAGGCAGGCAGAACAACTGCACTACAGAGGGCTTAGAGGGGTCCATGAGGACAACTTTGCACAAAGCCATCAGTCCCCTGGTCCCCGTATGCTGTTTGTCACCAGAAAATGTGGGTGTTCTGGGGCCAGGAGCCACCGTGGTGCCAGACATGGGTTATGCATGGCAATTGAAGGTTGTCACTTTTTTTTTTAATGCAGGGTGTGACAATGGCTTCAGGAGGACAGGGTACAGTGATAGCATTATTAAGCACAGCTTTCTACACCGAGCTGCTGACCCACCCCATGGTTGCTGAGAGCCTCTCCGTTTCCTGTGTCTTAAGTCACAGCTGAATTGTAAGGTGGTGTGTGCAGAGCCCGGAGCGTACAGGCCAGGCTAAACGCCAGCTCCTTGTCAAAGCACCACCTGCCGGGCCCGGTGGCTTCAGCAGCAGCAGGTGCAGGGATTGGGCGATCCACACCCTGTGTATCAAGAGAGAAACGACCACCCTCTGGTCACCTCCATCACGACATTACTCTGTGGGTCAGGCACTGTAGTAAGCTCTCATTACAGTCTAGACACAAGGAGAAGGATGGGTGGGTAACCGAGCTGCCGAGAGCAATGTGAAAGTCCTTTAAGTTCTGTGTACCTCGGTTTTCTCATCCATGAAGCGGGACTATAGCCCTATCCTCACTAAGAGCTGCCTGAGGTTCAAAATGCAATAAATACAGGAGAAGACCTAGAAAAGCAAAAAGAGAATTTAAAGCAGTGGGAGATGCCAAGCAGGAAATAAACGCCAAGCAGGACTTCCTTCACCATGTTACCAAATATACAATTATCATAGCTAATGTATACCAAATGCTTACTCTACTCCAACCCCAAAGCTGAGTTGGAGTCATACAATAATCACATTAAAACTTCACAGGCAAATCTGGAAGACTGTCATCATCATTGTCCTCACTTTGCAAACGGGGACTCTGAGGTGACATGGAGTCACAGGACCTCTAGATGTGGTCTTAAGAAGTGCCTCTGTTAGTGGCCTTGATTCCATGGAAGCCACACTTGTCCACAGACAGGGGGGACCCACACATGGAGGAGCATCTATAAGGAGGAGCGCGCAGCCGCAGATCTGGGTTGCACTTGAAGGAGGAAGCATGGACTGGCTGGACTGTGGAAGAGGCAGATTCTTGGCACCGGCAGGAAACTTATCTAAAACAAATACGACTTGTTTATTTAGAGTATTTATTGGATTTTTATTAAAGTTAATGGGTTGGGAGAGGAAAGAGACAGAGGAGAGAGTATAAAACTTGTAGTTTTCTATTCTCACCTCTCAGGATCTCATTGAGTGGAACACTCTGTATGGTGTGTCTGTGTTGCGTGTGTGTGTGTGTGTGTGTGTGTGTGTGTGTGT